GGCTACTGAGATCTACAGATATTTTGGCTGCTGTGGGTCAGTTGGATTCGGAATTGTTTGTCTGGGCAATCCAAAGACCGTAGGAGAAGAAAGGGAGCTTCTGGAGAGAACTCCAGAGAGAACTCATTGCTCAGTATTAAATGGATCAATCCTACCACAAGGAAGAGAGGTTACAACTCTCTGCTGTTTCAGTAAATCTGGCATACACAGGGAAATTATTTGCAAAGGTTAAAAATACTCTGAGTTGAGGCCACAATACTAGGCCATGGTTAGAGTCTTAATGTTAAATCGACTTGGATTTTTAGTCATAGGCAAATCATTACTACTAGTTAACATGTTTAATTTAATTTATTTTTTTGTATTTTTCTAAAGAAAGGATTAAACTCAAGAAAAATGTTATGAGTTTATGGCAGTCCATATAAATAAACTGTAACCCATTTACTCGAATAACCTGTAATGGTGTGTAAATACTGACTTTATGTAAATATAGAAACATGTAATTTAACTTAGGCATTATTGCAAGACTGGAAGGCCTAGGAGTTGGCAGTTTGCCACTCCCTGCAGGTTCACTGGGTCAAATTTGGCCTGTTTCAGGTAGCGAACAACAGATTCTGTTCAGTCACTGGTGTAAAATGAGTTATTTCTGTTTGTTTTCTGGTGGGGGATGGGCAAAACCATTGTCACCTGGGTGCTGTTTTGCTCCTTTGCCAAGGCATGAAGGGGTATGGGTGCCCTCCTGCTCCTTATGTGGTCCTGCTAAAACAGGGCTGGAGAGAGCTGACGTTGCAAAGCAGGGAGGCTTGTGGTGCCTCTCCTCCTGTGCTGTGGACAAACAGAAGTCTTCATTTTCTAGTGCTGTCCATCTGGCACCTTCCTTGAGCACTAAAATTCACTTGAAGAAAAATCTGAGGGAAAAAGAAAAGAACAATTCATGTTATTTACTTGATATTCTGTAATGGTGTGTAAATACATACAGAATTCTGTAATTCCTATAAATATATTGCTATAGAATTTTGCAAATTGGTATTATTTGCTTCATGTCCCTTCAGAACATTTTCTTATAACCATGCACATGTGTGATAACGGGATGGCAAAAAGATGTACTTGCTTATTCCTAGAAAGTGTGTGAGAATATCCCCAGAAGGCAAAAGTCATCAATATTTTCTGTCTTTTTGCTAAATTGGAAAAAAGCAGGGAAATATATTTTTGTCAAGAATTGTATTATCATTTCACCTGAAGCAGATATGTCTGGGCAAGCAGCATGGGCAAAAAGGTGATGGAGATCCAGACCAATGTTATGTTGTGGGCTGATTTTGAGCTGCATCTGCTAATGTGTCAGGCCCCCTCCCAAACTTAAGTAGAGTGGGTTAAACCTGGGAGAACTGGGCAGTGCAGAGAGTGGAAAGAGAAAAATTCTAGGAAAATTGCCTTGAATTGTCCCCAGTCAGTGCTGAAAAACTGCCTGCTAACTGGATGGAAAAAAAAAGGTGTCTTGTATAAATGCCTGGGTGTAAGATGTGGAGGCTGGAGATAAGACTCTGGTCTAAGAAGTCAAGTGTTGCTATTGTCCGCCTGAATAAAAGAGAAATATGTGTTTAATAAACATAAAAATAGGAGAGAGTTGGAGAGACAGCTTCTGAGGCAATCTCTCAGTTTCTTGGGAGACAGAATATGGCAGGAGGCAAGAGAAGATGCTTCTGCAGCATGTCTTTCAGAGTCCCTTGCATCAGCATAGCTTATGCTCTGCTCTGCCTCTTGTATCAAGTAAAAAAGTGACCATAAGGTCTGGCTCTGTTACTCATGATTATAGGAGTAGAAATAGATGGGTTGTGAACTGTGCTGAATGCCTTTTTGTGTGAACTCCTGTCCCAGCAGTAAACTCTCACAGGGTCCCTGTGAGGTACAGTAGCGAACCTTGAGATGTGACCAGGCTACTTACAACTGCAGTTTGTTTTGCAGAAATTGTGAGGCTCCAGGTTCTTTGGAATTTTGATGAAATCTTGGAAACTCAACCCCATTACTGATGTAGCTGTATATATGTAGGCAGCTGTATTTGTAGGTAGAGAATCTGGGGGCAGAAGTAATCAACCACGTCATCCTCAGTATTTCATTCCACATCGCATATCATTTACTGATCTGAGAATAAAAACCAGAAGACTTCTGTTTTCCAGAATTTTATCTCTGTTCCTAAGCTGTTAGAACTCTCCATGGGTTGTTCTCTGGTCAGTTCTGTCCTACCTTGTTGTTATCTTTCAACTTACCATAACACTACAAGTTGGGTTTGCCATCTGGACCCTAAGCAAGTACCAGTAGCAAAACCTCATCTCCTCTTGTTAAGAAGCTGGAACAGCCTGCCCTAGAGTTTGTTGCTGAACACTTTGGCATTGTGAAGTGTGCAGAGCATGGCTAATTGGCATCTTAAATTTAGGTCTGAAAAAATTTATCTGTTAGGGATAAGAAAGACATCTAGTGATTATAAACAAAAAATGCTGTTGTGCAACGTGTCTTCCCAGCTCAGATGCAAGAAATTTGAAAGCAGAAAATGTTTATTGATGTTCAGGAAATTTTAAATGAGAATAATAAGCAAGCTCCACCTGCAAAATAATTTATAAAACCCAGTCTTTTTCCCTGATGGTTTCTTATCTTTAATAGCTTGTGTGTGTGTTTTCTTCTACTCAGTGATATTGGAAAAGATTCTTTTATTTTTCATTCATGATTTCTGAAGTCCAACTCTCTTTATATAATTTTTCAGAGTTATTCTTGTCTGAACCCTGGAGCAGGAAAATTACTGTGTGATCCTGGGTTAGGATAGGGGATCACATGCTTTGCAAAGATGCTGCTGTTGTGCTCAGAGTAGCTGCCATAGTCCTTGTCTTACTGTAGCTATCACATGGAGGACAACAACATTATTTATTCCTTAATATTTGGTATGTTACTGT